AACGCAAGGGTTACAATCTGGGTGAAGCACTTTATTTTTCACAATTTATACAACGCGAGCGCGTGTCGTCTTTCTCTCCATCGACGCCGAGCACGACAATCTGCTCATCGGGGGAAACAAATGACGATCGGGCCTCGTTTTTGGCGCCCAATAATCCTCCCAGCGCCATCCATGACCTTGTTACCCAATCAATAGATGGCACCAGGAGGAATCACACTCCTCAATCTTTACATACTGTTTTACCGTATGCTCCGCTACAATGTTTACTTACATTCAACGTTGTAATAAATATGATTTGAAGAAAATTGTAAATATTATAAATAATGCAGAATAAAAAAATACGTACTCGGAGTGTACACCGGACGAATAAGGAGATTTAGCAAGCGTAATTCATGAGTCTCCCGTTTCTGTCGAATTCTCAGTAGAATACATCCTGCCATCACATCTGAAGGAACTAAATCTGTTCCACGAAACAAAGCACTTAGCAAACCTGTAAAATAATTTTATTGTACTGAAACAATTAGCTTACCGTTTATTACAACAACGGTGGCAGATAATAAATTTGGTATTAAAATACACTGAATAAATTTTTTTACAAACACACGTAAGTATAAGTACTTTGAAGATATATACAACGTGTCGTAAATGTAGGTTTTACAATTTAATTGTATGATTGGAATTTGGAAGATACAGGGTGTTCAATTATCTCAAGTAATAAACGAAAAGATTATTTAAAAAAGACTCATGATTATGGAAATAATTTTTTTTTATAGGTGGAGGTGTAGAGGAGAAGTCAATTTTGTGTTTCTAAACAGTCAGACTAGTGAATTCTACGAGTATAAAAAGTTTAGTACGTGTCACGATATAGCGAGGTCGTAAAATTGGTCAGGAGCCATAGTGAACATGGTGTCGAGACTCTATTTTGTAACATTTTTACTTTTTAAAAATTGGAGAAAATAGTTGACAGTTACATTTATATCATGTGAAAAAATTGAAATTTTTCATTTAGTAGTTGCCTATGAAAAAAATTCCCAAACTTTGTTATAACCCTTTAATTCTTTAATTTCGAACCTCGCTACATCGCTTCCACAAACTATACTATTACAGTAACCAAAGTAGAGTAGAAACTACTCCTTAAGCTCTACATTGTAGCTTAAATGGTGCATTCTTAACTAAAATCCTCATTTCGTGAAAAAATTTAAAACATGCATCAGTTCGATACCCAAACCAAATTGACGACTCGAGTTATAGCCCTTTCAACGATGATATTTCTTTGTGTTTATCATATTTTTCTAGATAGAACTTATCAGTGATGAATTTGAAGTAAACCGGAAAGTCAACTAATCATATCAGATTCCAGGATATTTCTTTCTTATTAATAATTTCAATGTTAATTATTTTTCATGCATACGTTAACCTCTCGAATAAAAGTCTTGCCTCTTAAGGAAATCAGAACAAAAAGTATGATCATTATCGTAATTACACGTGTTCCTTGTGCTACCAATGAATTGCCTTGTCGTATGATTATCACCTTCGTGCCCAGTGTATTACAAACTTGCCTTTTATACACATAAATCTTAGAAAGATTGATTTCACTTCTCATTTTTCATGCACATTCTAACCTCAAAAGTTTTTCATATTTTCGTTATTTTAAACAAGATAAATTATGCGAGTGAATTTATCAGTAGGTTATAAATTTAGAAGGTGAAAATCGATTGATTTCACTTCTCATTTTTCATGCACATTCTAACCTCAAAAATATTCCATATTTTCGTTATTTTAAACAAGATAAATTATGCGAGTGAATTTATCAGTAGGTTATAAATTTAGAAGGTGAAAATCGATTGATTTCACTTCTCATTTTTCATGCACATTCTAACCTCAAAAGTATTCCATATTTTCCTTATTTTAAACAAGATAAATTATGCGAGTGAATTTATCAGTAGGTAAAATCGATAGAACTTATTCATAATGTTTCGTCTTTTTTCATTTCTTTTGACTTTACTTCTCATTTCTCACGTACATTCTAACCTCAAAAATTGTCCATATTTTCGTTACTTTAAACAGAAAAATTGTACGAGTATTAACCGCGTATAAATTTAGAAGGTGAAAATCGATAGAACTTATTTATGTTTTTTTCTTTTGTTTCTTTGAAGATTGTTTCTTATGGCGAATAAACAATGTTCCAATTTCAACTACGGCAGGACTTTTTCTAGGCCAGCCGTACCTATGTCTCACCAGCAGCATGTTGAAAAATTTCATTAGCGCTTTCATCTTTTCGCATCCACCAGAGAAACCTGAATCTCCGAAACCAGATACTCGAGATCTTGCCATGTTCGGCTGTACTTTCTAGCTGTTTGTCACCTAACGAGCCTAACGGATCGAAGATCAATGCCAGACCAAAAATAGTCAGGCCTATAAGAATCCAATCGAAAAACACTAACGCCTGAACAACTGTGACAGTGTAGTGTTCGTAACCGCACTCGACGTTCGGTCCGAACATCCATAAACATCCTAAAACGTTCCACGCTATCTCCGGTAGGAGCAATAATATCCTGCAATACCATAGCAATAGTTAGTTTCTTTCATAAAAACTTAATTTAAATTGAATAAAAAGTACTAAACTTAAAAATTTATTTAAATTAAATTAAACGTAATAAATTTACACTAAATTTAAATTAAATAGAGAAGAATAAATTTAAAAATGAATTTAAATTAAGCAAAGGATAATAAATTTGAAAATAAATTTTAATTATACAAAGAATGATGAACTTAAAAATAAATTTAAATTGAATAAAGAGTACTAAACTTAAAAATAAATTTGGATTGAATAAAGAACAATAAACTTAAAACTAAATTTACACTAAATTTGAATTAAACTTTCTTAAGCTTATTTCGCGTAAATTTCAATTTCCGACAAAAAATAAATTGACAAAATTAAAGAAACAACGATAAAACAAGTTTAAATAAGTAAAATAAGTTTAAGAAGTATATCGCTTCGTTTATCAAATGATCGGCAAAAATGATAAATTTCACGCGCAAAGCACGACGTCAGGAAAACCGTTATTATCTTTTTTTGCTCACGTTTCCATACCTTCTAGTGACATTAACCGGAAAATATGGAGCATGAATAAAAACAGCATACAGATGTCTGTTAAGATACCTATGGGGCATCAATAACACAGACTAAAAACGATTTGCGTCAGAAGACGCGACGAAGAAAACTTTTTACAATTATACCTTATTAATCTGACATTTTGAAATGTACATACTGTGATAAATAGATCGAGCGGAACTGCTATACTTACAGAATGTTTACCAATGTAGTAACATTCGACAGAACAATATCGAATAGTATTGTTCATTAACGATACATACAGTAAATTCTCTACAAGTGTCAGTCAGTTTGAATTCTACAAGTGTCAGTATAGATGGTCCTACGCCTAGGCTGCGTCATTGCTGCGCCTACGTTATCTCGCTCGCTGTCAGATTTCACGGCTCGACAATTCATAATAGAAAAATATAATTTCTTTAATTTTACTTTTTTTCATCTGAAATTTTTTTTAACATGGTGAGATTTTTCTGATGAAAATGACATCAAACACGACATAATTTGAACATTTACTTATTCACTGTCACGTGTTAGTAAGTAAATGTTGTTCAAATTATGTCGTGTTTGATGTCATTTTCATCAAAAAAATCTCATCAATATGTTAAGAAAAATTTCGGGATAAAAAAGCGTAGAATTAAAAAAGTTGGTATTTAAATCGCTTGGTTGCCTCGACTCATCCTTATCTTTTATTCGCTGTCCTTGTCTACGTTCGGCAAACTACAAAGGCGGGCGCGAGGCTCGAAAACGTAGTCCCTGACTCTACAAGTGTCAGGTTTAGGATCCTTGCGGACTGACACTTGTAGAGAATTTACTGTACATATATGGAAATTACTGTATTATTTTCGTATGCTTACTCACTTAATTGTCAAAAGTGGCTCGACATATTTACGATCACGCGCCTCCATTATAGTTCCTTTTGCGCTTTGTCTTGCAATAATAAGTATGAAAAGTATAGATGTGACGAGGAATACTAGCTCTCCTATGAGGTACACGCGAACCAGCTCTCCTCCCAGTTGACATCTCCATGTGTACGCGTAATATCTGATACAAGCAGTTGTAATCAAGATTAACCTGTGAAAAGAATTGAGAATGTAATATAAAAATACAGGAAAAATGAAACGAAATTATTTTTAAGGAAAATGAATTCCTTCCTCCTAAATTTATTTAAGTTTGGTGGACAAATTAAATCGGTGCCTCTTTTTCACAAACTTCAATGTTTATCTACATAAACAATTGAACACAATTTTAAGGTTCAAAATAATTTCTATTACTTTTTATCACTTTTTTATATTTAGATAACTGAGGAATTTTCTGTTCGAAAAAATATGCTGATTTCGAGTGAATGAACGAGTCAGGACTTCGCTAATTACAGAATTAATTTGTACACCTAATATTAAGAAATTTATTTTCTGTATTTTAAGTTTTTTAGATTTTTTGCTCTACTTTATGGGAATTTAATTGAAATTTTGAGAAAAATGTACACGCGGAGTTAATTAAATTTTACGTTGGATGGAAGTGATTTTATTGGGTGACTAAAAGTGTCCTTCTGGTTATTGTTTAGGTTAGGTATAAATGAAGGTAGATGAAAGTTTTTGGAATTTAGGAAAAGCTTAAATTTTATATGACAGGAAGGATGAATAAAATTTTCTAAAATAAGAAAATCTCAATATTACTGAAATAATAAATGTATTAAAAATCCACAGAGTTAATTCGTTTTTCAGATCTTTTTTATAAATTTTGATAAATTTTAATAAATCCCGTTAATAAACTTTTACTTCTTTAGAATGTACTTCCGAAAGAACTGTTGAAGAGCGTACGAACTATACTTGCAGATTCAATAGTAGCAAAACAAATAAAATCGTTAGTCATTTACAAAGGCTTGAGTTGTCTGAAATATTCGAATATGTTCGTGTACTTATGCACATCGCATTCGAAGTACGTCATTTTCTAGTGGAATACATGCTGGCAGACTACCAAATCATTTATTTTCCTGGAATAGTGGAGAATTTTATTTAAATAATGGCAATACCTATCTACGCAGTGTGTATTTACGCAGTTGCGTAAAAATATAAGCATAAATTTACTTTAGAAGAAAAGGATAAAGAACATTATTCTTATAAAGGATATAAGAAACACTAGAATATGGTATTCTTGAATTCCACTTTCAATGATATATTTTACGTTTATGTAAAACTTGGTATTAAGGTTAAAGGTAAAGAAATATAACAACGAGAAACGCAAATTTTTTTAAATTCAGCTATGGGCAATGAGAATTTTATAAAATATAGCAGTGAGAATTGGGAATTTTATAAAATACAGCAACGGGAAATGGAAATTTTATAAAATATACTAGTGGAAAATGGGAATTTTAGAAAAAATAGAGCAATGAGAAATAGGAATTTTATAAAAAATATAGCAATGAGAAATGAGAATTTTATAAAATATAGAAATGGGAAATTATAAAAT